CCTCATGCATGGTGACTTTTAGAGCTGTGGTTGGATTCCCTTCTCTTTGTGTATCTATCACTGGTTTTGGTTTGAGGTTACCATGGGATTTATATGTGATGTCTTACATATATAGCAGTAAGTTAAGTTGATGTGGTCTTCTAAGTTGATGGTCACAAGTTTGAATGCATTCTAACAACATTACATTTCTTACTCTTTCCATGTTTCATTTGCTGTCTTTTACAGTTTTTTATTTAGTAATTCCCTTAACTAATTTTAGAAACAATTGAGTTTCCTATTCTGTCTTTTAACCTTTGCACCAGCTTTTAAGTGACTGGTCTACTACCTTTGCTATGTTTGCTTTTATCAGTGAATTTCTTTTTTGTTTCCATAATTTTCTTCTAGTTATGGCTTCTTCTCTTAACAAGAAATGGTATAGGGAGTTCTTTAAGACTGATTTAGTGGTGCTTGACTTGTGTTTATCTGGAAAGCTCTTCATCTCCCCATCCATTCTGAATGATAAACTTGCTTTCTTGTTGGTTATAGGTTTTCCCTTCCAGCACTTTGAATATTTCATGCCACTCCCTCTGGCCTGTAGAGTTTCTGCTAAAAAAATAGGCTGATAGCCTTACCAGGTTTTCCTTGTACATAACTCCTTGCATGTCTCCTGCTGCTTCTAAGATTTTCTTTGTCTTTGGCCTTTGACATTTTAATTATGATATGTCTTGGTGTGGATCTCCTTGAGTTCATCTAGTTTGGGGCGCTCTGTGCTTCCTGGACCTGGATGTCTGTTTCCTTCCCTAGGTTAAGGAAGTTTTTGGCTATTATTTCTTCAAATAAGCTTTCTATGCCTATCTCTTCTTCTGAGACCCCTGTAATGTGAGTGTTAGGATGTCTAATATTGTTCTAAAGGTCCTTTAACCTACTCTCATTTCTTTTCATTCTTTTTTCTTTCTGCTTTTCAGTTTTTGAGTGCTTTCCCCTACTCTCTCTTGCAAATTACTGATCCATTCTTCTGCATCCTCTAGTGTATTTTTCAGTTTATTGTATTCCTTATCTTTGACTGGTTCCTTCTGATACTGTCTGAGTTCATCCACTCTTCTCTCAAGTCTGATTAGCATCTTTATCACTACTACTTTTTATCAGATGGATTGCTTAACTCCCATTTCATTTAGTTCTTTGCTGTGGTTTTGCCATGTTCTTTGATTTCAAACATATTCCTGTGTCTCCTTATTTTGCTTGACTTTCTGTAAGTTAGGAAAAAGGGCTGTCTTTTGTAGGAATGCCCCTTAGGTACACTATGTGTGCCTGGCACTTTTGGCTGGCTAGCTGGAGGCCAGGTGGGTGTGGGTTGGAGTGTCCTGGGGCTGGGGCTTCCAGGGCATAGGCTGGGGGTCTTCTAGTTTGGCACTCATTGGGGTTACAGTATTGGTGGGGTGATAAGGCAGTGGGCGAGGCATGGGGTCTGGTGATCTGTCTGGGCACCAGTGAATCCACATGGGCACTGCACTGGTGCTACCTTGGTGGGACTGCTGATTTCTGTCAAGTGTGTTTGGGCACAGGCAGGGTCCAAGAGACACCTTGGTTAAGTCTGGAGCTAGTGTGTGCACCCTTACCCTACTCTGGGCCATACTATGAATACATGGGGAGAATGTAAACAATAGTACTCCTGTTCCTAGAGTGAATTCTAGCAGTTCCCCCACCTGTTGCTGGGTTCTTCCATTCTGAAAATCAGTTTCCTTCATGTAGTGTGCCTGTCTTTTAAACTCCTAATAACAGCTTTTCCTCCTGTGCCCCAGGGCAGGCAGATCTGCACTATGGGCCCTCAGTGACATCCCTCCATACTGCAGAGCCACACTGGGAGTGAGGCTCCCTCTGTTACTGTGTCTCTGTCTCTCCTGCCTTATTTTTATGTGATATTTTTGTGCAGAAGGTGCTCTACTCAGGCCTCAGTTCTCAGCATGGATTGCTCTGGTATAGGTGTGGGTATAAATTTTATGTGTACATGGGATGAAGTGAGTTCATGCTCTTTCTACACTACCATCTTGGAACCCCTCTTGGAATAGGTATTAGCTTGCTGTTTTAAAGTAAAACACTGAAAATTGTTTCAGAGTTTAACTTCCAAAATAGTAAATATTTAATTCTCATAAGCATTGAGCACCCCACAAAAATCTTTAGCTTATTAGTAGAAAAGAAAGCCTGAAACCAAAAAATTTTTAAAAAGCTAGTTTAGAACATAAGACTGTCTATTTTTCTGTTTATCATTTGGCTATTGTTTATTGTATTTTTAGCTGTGATAATTTTATGATTTTTGTGGTGTCAAGTCCCTATATATCTCCTCTATATCTACCATTTTCATGTTTATATATCAAGTCATGATTTCCCACTCTTTTCATTTGATGAATTCCAGTATATACTCAGCATTTTAAGAAACCACTGATTATTTCCACTAGTCTTTGGGTATTTCTATGCTAGAACCAGACAGACGGCTCCCATTACCATAGCTTTAAGATATTATTTTGACACCTGTTTTCAAAACTGCTCATTTTCCTTCCCCACAATTTTATTGATTATTCTCATCCACTTAATTTTCCAGATAAAATTTAAAGTATCTATTAAGTTACAAAAAGTATACAGTAATATGATGATAGTAATTGTATTGAAATTATACATATCTTTAGGAAGAATTGACTTCTTTATATTTCTGAGTCCTCAACTTCTATGGAATATATATTTCTTATAGGCCCCACACTTTTGTGCTAGGTATGGGTATTTTACTGTGTTCTCACATTCTCCCTTATTGTAATGCCGCTAGCCTATCTCTGTTGGTGTTCTGACCTCCATATCTGACATCAAGTCCATACTTGATGTCAACCATGTTGTTGTTATTCATTTTTCTAACAGAGATTTTTTTTCAAAATACTTCCAAAGGAACTACTATGCCATGTGTCCCAAGGTCTCTCTACTTTAAGGACTTGTTTTTTTCCAGTTTTCCAACAGACTCAGATCTTTTTTGAGGCTGTTCTTTTCACTCTTAAGTTTAGGTTGGATTGCTCCACAAGGACTTGAACAGCTGTACTATGGATAACCCGAAATAAATATACATACTATGTTCCCAGAGTGAAGGGGAAGTGAATAGAACAAAACTTTTAAAGAATTAAAAAAATTATTTTCTTACTTGTCAAGCATCATGCAAAATTGACCCATACAGTTGGAATGATCTGGCCATTTGGAAAATAGATACCTCAGTAAAAACTTTAGATGTTATTTGAGCTCTGTATAAGATACTATGAAATACTTGCTTGTGGAACAAAAAAAGCAGCATGTATTTTTAAAGGTCTTCTTTTCAGCATGGTAATGTTCACACCGAGCAACATGAGGTCTTTCACTCAATTGTCTATTTAACTCAGTTAATATCTAATGTTAAAAATAATACAACAGGCCAAAAATGGAGTCACTTATGCTAAGCCCCATGCCACTAAACTGGAAGTTAACTATAGTTTGGGACCTCCCAGAAATGGGATGGTCAAGCAGGAATTGCCTGGTAGACCCCTGCCTTCCCCTAAAGGAAAGTAACCTGCAATAGCCAGTCCATTTTCTTGCCTACTGTAATTTCTTTGTGCCCATGCTCCTATGCTTATACAAATCTTTCATTTTGTACAGCTGTCAGATTAGATGCTGCCTGATTCATAACTGTTGAATAATACCAATAATATCTTTAAAATTTACTCAGTTGAAATTTGTTTTTTAACACTGGTGGCTGTAATGAGATTGAGGGAGACTTCTGATGGCTTTTGGCACAAGAAACAAAGGCATTGGTACCTGCTAACCCTTGGAGTCCTCTGTCTTTTTGCCATTTCTGAGGGACACAGGTAAGTTCCTTTCAGATCCAGGCTCCACTGTTTGTGTTCAGCTCCCCGTGTAATTGGCTTTCCAGTCCACATCTTACTTTAGCAGATCAGCTTGGGCTGACAAATGGTTTCAGCCAGAACCTGAGTCCCTAGCCTGTGATTAGTCTGCAGTCTGTATTTGTTGGATTCTGCTGATTCAATCTGTAGTTCACTTTGGGAACAGTTGGTAGTATGTGCCTAAGGCCTTCTCTTGGCTTGTCCATAGTTCCACTTCTTCAGTTACTATTGGTTTCTGCCAATGTATGCAGGAGGTAAAGGAATAATAGGCCTATTATTAGTGGGAATGAGGGTGCCATTAGGGTGCTTGCCACCTAAATCTCAGACACCTGTGTTATAGGATAAGTTGGTCACTGAACAGGTTAGATGGACACCAGACCACCTGCCAACCTCAAGAAAATTTCCATGCAATGAAGAACATTGTAAAATACCACACAATCATCTACCCAGTGGCAAATCCTTCTTAAGCATTAATTTGACTCAAAAACGCCCTAAGGCTTAAAGAAATGGGATCTTCAAGTTTCAGATAACTGAGTGCATCCCCTTATGGCACAACTGCTTATTTTATATCTAAACCAGAAGCTGCTACACTCTACAAAAACGGCAAAATCTTACTAAGACAACTAGAAATGCAATGGCCATTATAGGGGGCATTCCAGTTTAGACAGAAGTGTTCATTTAAGAAGTGCACTGGAAAGCAGGGGCTCCCAAATCAAGGAATAGAATGGAACACCCATCTTAACTGATATGCAGAAGCCTCCAAAAGACTTTAAGGTTCTAAAATATCTTTGAAAGATCAATGAAAAATTAAAAGTCACAAGAGATATTAAAACTAAGGATCAGACTGATGAGACTCCTGCTGCTCCTCTATTGGGGTTCCCTTCCACTCTGAAGAGACTATAAGACTACAGACAAAAGCTGCTTTTGGCCTCATAGACATTTCCATAAGCTAACTCTCAAAAGAGAGCCCCTGCATGTGGGCCCTAGCAGGGTTGGGGGATTCTCTGGGACTGTATCTCCCTTAGCAGCCAATGGAAAACTAAAACTTAATAGAAAAGCTTGCTAAATTTTGATGTCTGCCTGGCTGACACTCTCTACCTTAAATCCCACCAGAAATCCCACTAGATCTGGAGCCTGCAGATGGGATCCTGGTAAAGCTGGCAGACGCCAGCAGAGGGTGAGCACTCTTCTGGGGTCAGCTCTCCGCATCTCCACAGTGCCTGGCTGTGAGAGGAAGGTAAAGTGCCATGGTGTCCCTTCCTTTCCAAATCCCCACCTACTGGTTATTAATCCTTTCTCTCCTAGGGACAGTTATTGCTCCATGTTTTTCTTGTTTTGTGTCCTGAGAACTTAGGTTGGGGACGCCAAAAATGTGGCTTGCCTTCCATTTGCAGCTAGGATCCTACCTCCTGTTGATGACTCTCAGGACAATTGTTAAATTTTTCTTTCTTTTGGATATATTTGGGGGTGGAGAATATTTTCTCTCTCTTTGGGGTCATTCCATACTGCTAGGAATATTTACTGTTGGTCCAAAGATGTTTGAAGGATTTTTTTTTTTAAGTAGGTCCATCGTCAGAAGCTTGCCAGATTGCAAATTGACAGTCAGAACTTGACAAGAACCATTTTTTAGGTCTTCTCCCATAAGGGAAAATTAAACTGTATAGCCAGAGAGAAAGGAAAACCTTCCAAAGATTGACAATTCTAAGTCTAGAACATAGGAAGCTTTTAATTCCCACCTTAGAGATCTCCTTGATTAAATAAGATGCAAATGGGTAGACCTTGATATAATTTAGGTTGGAACCCAATTTTCCAAGGATTAAGTCTTTACAAGAACAGAAATGTAGTGCAAGAACTAATTAAAAGCCCACCTGTCTCTCTCAAAAGGCTTGTAGATATTGTAAAAGATCTGGACTTACAAACATCCTTCCTGGTGAAAGTTTCACTCTTTCTTTGGCTTTTGAGGTTTCAAATTCTACCCAGTCTTCTCTGGGGATCAAGGTAATTCTTATAAGGAAAGAAAGGTTATTTGAAAGCTAGGCCTATAAAAAATCTTAAAAATCTTTGCCACAAATATTAGTAAAGTTTAAGACATCTGAGCAGGTAACCTTAACCTATGCCATCTGATAGAAACACAGTTAGGATCCAATTGTGTTTTTATTAACTAGGGAGTTTTGCATTACCATACCTATCCCACGGTTAAAATTTTGAAATTTATAGATGTCTATTTATATCTGTCTTCACATATGTATGTTAGAATGTGATTTTTCTATCCCCAAGGGTATTGCCAAAGTTAATTTGTAAAGAGCTCTATTTGCGTTAAAGGCAAATCAGTGCTATATAAATTCAGTATATTCTCGGAAATATAAAAATGAACCCAAATGTTTTTCAAGCTTACATAATATAGGACAATTTTCCTTAAGTAAAAACAAGAGCTATAAATATTAGATACAATGCAAACATAAAACTCTCATGCTCCCTATATTGGTTTACTATAAGTCAAATAAGTTCATGTTATCTCTCTCTCACAGGATTTGTCAGCAAGAAAAATAACTTGAGTGATCTAATTATTCCTTATCTACTTAAAAATAGCTTCCAAAATATTTTTGGTAACTTGAAACCTTAAAGTTATACTGATCTAAATTAAATGATGGGTATTCATTGACTATCTAGATCCTTTCCAAGTAAGATAAAATAGTGAAACATGAACTACTGAATATAGGCTTATTATCCCCTTGGGCTTTCTTTGATAGAAGAACTAAGGATATTTGAATGTATTAGTAACTGTGTTTTGTGCCATATTGAGGGAGACTATACTTCTAATGTATTTATGAGTTTGCCAAGCTACAGTATGCTAGTTTAATAGTCCTGGTTGCTTACTTTAGTTTTTGCTAGGAATTAAGGATTCTGTGGGCTAAGATTATAGTAGATTTTTCAAATGAGTTTTAATATCAAAAGCACATTGGTAAAGAACTAGAGTTTGTTTTTTTCTCTGTGTTAAAAAAATGATGTTGGAGGAGGAGCCAAGATGGTGGCATGAGTAGGGCAGCAGAAATCTACCAAAACCATATATATTTTTGAAAATACAACAAATACAACTATTCCTAAAAGAGAGACCAGTGGATACAGTACAACAGCCAGGATACATCCACATCTGTGAGAACTCAGTATCTCACGAAGGGAGTAAGATACAAGCCATGGACTGCAGGACCTGAGTACTCCCCCAACCCCAGCTCCCTGGCAGGAAGAAAGGAGTCAGAGAGGGATGGGGGTGAAACCCCAGGACTGCTAAATACCCAGCCCTAGTCATCCATACCAGGAGCGCAGACACACATTGAATGGTGTGCTAGATATTAGAGAAACAGAAAAGTAAAATCTGCAAGTGTGTCCCCCACAGACAGCTCCCCTGGGACAAAAGAAAAGCAAGTGCTTTTTGAAAATCTTAAAGGGATATGGGCCTCACAGCTGCATGGAAGCATCCCTGTACACTCAGCTGAGCAGCTGGGAATCCTGGGCAGCTCTGAAGTCCCTCATGGTGATAAATAGCCTGCCAGTCATACCCCTTCTGGCACGGCCATGCACATGCTCACAGCAGCAGAGCAGTGGGAGAGAGGCCGCAACCACAGCAACTGCCCAGAATCTCTTCCTGGAGTGCAGCCACCCAGGCCAGACCCAGGACACCTGGCATGCCTGCCATTTATTGCAGGCCTCTGGGCTACCCTGACAGTGACCCCACCCACAGCATCTTAGGGGATTAATCCAAAGGCTGTGCCAGGTGTGCGGTAACCAACACAGGCAGTAGAGAATGACACGGAGACAAACAAGCAGGAAAGGACTTTACAGCTACCTCTATAACCATGAAAAGGCAGAAGAATTTGGTTCAGTCCAGAATTACCCAGACAAACCCCAAGAGAGGGCCTGGAGAGATAGATTTAACCAATCTTCCTGAAAAAGAATTCAAAATAAAGGTCATAACTATGCTGATGGACCTGTAGAGAAATATGCAAGAGCTAACGGATAAAGTTGGGAGGGAGAATACAGAAATAAAACAATCTCTGGAAGGACTTAGGAGCAGACTGGATGAAGTGCAAAAGGCCATTAATGGAATAGAAATCAGAGAACAGGAACACAAAGAAGCTGAGGCAGAGAGAGATAAAAGGATCTCCAGGAATGAAAGAATATTAAGAGAACTGTGTGACCAATCCAAACAGAACAATATCCACATTATCAGGGTACCAGAAGAAGAAGAGAGAGAAAAGGGATAGATAGTGTCTTTGAAGAAATAATTGCTGAAAACTTCCCCAAACTGGGGGAGGAAATAGCCTCTCAGACCACAGAAGCACACAGAACTCCCAACACAAAGGACCCAAGGAGGACAATGCCAAGACTCATAATAATTAAAATGGCAAAGATCAAGGACAAGGACAGAGTATTAAAGGCAGCCAGAGAGAGAAAAAAGGTCACCTACAAAAGAAAACCCATCAGGCTATCATCAGACCTCTCAACAGAAACCTTACAGGCCAGAAGAGAATGGCATGATATACTTAATGCAATGAAACAGAAGGGCCTTGAACCAAGAATACTGTATCCAGCATGACTATCATTTAAATATGAAGGAGGATTAAACAGTTCCCAGACAAGCAAAACCACAAACCACCTATACAGGGTATTCTAGAGGGACTGCTCTAGATGGAAGCACTCCTAAGGCTAAACAGATGTCAACAGCGAAAAAAAAAATCACAACAAAGAAAGACCAAGCAAATACTAACTAAAGGCAAAAAAATAAAATTAACTACTCACAAAAGCAGTCAAAGAAAACACAAAACAGTACAGAATACAACAACTAACATATACAGAATGGAAGAGGAGGAATAAGAAGGGAGATAAATAATCAGACTGATAAAAATCAGACTGTGCTTATAATAGCTTAATAAGCAAGAAGTTAGATAGTAAAAGAAGCTACCCTTGAACCTTTGGTAACCATGAATCTAAAGCCTGCAATGGCAATAAGTACATATCTTTCAAAATCACCCTAAATGTAAGTGGACTGAATGCACCAATCAAAAGACAGAGAATGATGGAATGGATAAAAAAGCAAGACCCATCTATGTGCTGCTGCTAAGAGACTCACCTCAAACCCAAAGACATGCACAGACTAAAATTCAAGGGATGGAAAACATATTTCATGCAAATAATAGGGAGAATAAAGCAGGTGTTCCAGTACTTGTGTCAGACAAAATAGACCTCAAAACAAAGAACGTAACAAGAGAGATAAGAAGGACATTACTTAATGATAAAGGGCTCAGTCCAACAAGAGGATATAACCATTATAAATATATATGCACTGAATACAGGAGCACCAACATATGTGAAACAAGTACTAACATGATTAAAGGAGGAAATAGAATGCAATGCAACACACCACTCACTCCTAAGGACAGATCCACCAGACAGAAAATAAGTAAGGCACAGAGGCACGGAACAATACACTAGAACAGATGGACCTAATAGACATCTATAGAACTCTACATCCAAAAGAAACAGGATACACATTCTTCTCAAGTGCACATGGAACATTCTCCAGAATAGACCACATACTAGCTCACAAAAAGAGCCTCAGTAAATTCCAAAATATTGAAATTCTACCAACCAACTTTTCAGACCACAAAGGTATAAAACTAGAAATGAATTGTACAAAGAAAGCAAAAAGGCTCACAAACACATGGAGGCTTAACAACATGCTCCTAAATAATCAATGGATCAACAACCAAATTAAAATGGAGATCCAGCAATATATGGAAACAAATGACAACAACAACACAAAGCCCCAACTTCTGTGGGACGCAGCAAAGGCAGTTCTAAGAGGAAAGTATATAGTGATCTAGGCATATTTAAAGAAGGCAGAACAATCCCAAATGAATAGTCTAAAGTCACAATTATCGAAACTGGAAAAAGAAGAACAAATGAGGCCCAAAGTCAGCAGAAGGAGGGACATACTAAAGATCAGAGAAGAAATAAACAAAATTGAGAAGAATAAAATAATAGCAAAAATCAATGAAACCAAGAGCTGGTTCTTTGAGAAAATAAACAAAATAGATAAGCCCCTAGCCAGACTTATTAGGAGAGAAAGAGAATCTACACACATCAACAGAATCAGAAATGAGAAAGGAAAAATCATGACAAAGAATTATTAGAGAATACTTTGAAAATCTCTGTGCTAACAAGCTGAAAAACCTAGAAGAAATGGACAAGTTCTTAGAAAATTACAACCCTCCAAGACTGACCAAGGAAGAAACAGAAAATCTAAGATTAATTACCAGAAATGAAATTAAATCGGTAATCAAAAAACTACCCAAGAGCAAAACCCCCAGGCAAGATGGATTTACTGCAGAATTTTATCAGACATATAGAGAAGACATAATACCCATTCTCCTTAAAGTTTTCCAAAAAATAGAAGAGGAGGGAATACTTCCAAACTCACTCATTCTATGAAGCCAGCATCACTGTAATACCTAAACCAGGCAAAGACACCACCAAAAATGAAAATTACAGACCAATATCCCTGATAAACATAGATGGAAATATACATCAAGAGGATCATGCACCATGATCAAGTGGGTTCATCTCAGGGATGTAAGGATGGTACAACATTTGAAAATCCATCAACATCATCCACCACATCAACAAAATCCAACATCCATTCATGATAAAAACTCACAACAAAATGGGTATAGAGAGCAAGTACCTCAACATAATAAAGGCCATATATGACAAACCCACAGCCAACATCATACTTAACAGTCAGAAGCTGAAAGCTTTTTCTCTAAGATCAGGAAAAAGAGAGGGATGCCCATTCTCCCCACTTCTATTCAACATAGTACTGGAGGTCCTAGCCATGGAAGTCAGACAAAACAAACTGTCACTCTTTGCAGATGACATGATATTGTACATAAGAAACCCTAAAGACTCCACTCCAAAACTACTAGAACTGATATCGGAATACATGCAAAGTTGTAGGGTATAAAATTAACACACAGAAATCTGTGGCTTTCCTATACACTAATGAAGAACTAGAAGAAAGAGAAATCAGGAAAACAATTCCACTCACAATTGCATCAAAAAGAATAAAATACTTAGGAATAAACCTTACCAAGGAAGTGAAAGACCTATACCCTGAGAACTATAAGACACTAACAAATGGAAACTCATCCCATGCTCTTGGCTAGGAAGAATTTATATCATCAAAATGGTCATCCTGCCTAAAGCAATCTACAGATTCAATGCAATGCCTATCAAAATACCAACAGCATTATTCAATGAACTGGAACAAATTGTTTTAAAATTCATATGGAACCACAGAAGACCACAAATAGCCAAAGCAATCCTGAGAAGGAAGAATAAAGTGGGGGGATCTTGCTTCCCAACTTTAAGCTCTACTACAAAGCCACAGTAATCAAGACAATTTGGTACTGGCAAAAGAATAGACCCACAGACCAGTGGAACAGAATAGAGAGTCCAGATATTTACCCAAACATATATGGTCAATTAATATACAATAAAGGAGCCATGGACATACAAGGGGGAAATGACAGTCTCTTCAATAGCTGGTATTGGCAAAACTGGACAGCTACATGTAAGAGAATGAAACTGGATCATTGTCTAACCACATACACAAAAGTGAATTTGAAATGGATCAAAGACCTGAATGTAAGTCATGAAACCATAACACTCTTAGAAAAACATGAGTGATGACTTCCTGAACATATCTCCCAGGCCAGGGAAACAAAGGAAAAATGAACAAGTGGGACTACATCAAACTGAAAAGCTTCTGTACAGCAAAGGACACCACCAATAGAACAAAAAGGCATCCTACAGTATGGGAGAACATATTCATAAATGACAGATCTGATAAAGGGTTGACATCCAAAATATATAAAGAGCTCACACACCTCAACAAACAAAAAGCAAATAATCCAATTAAAAAATGGGCAGAGGAGCTGAACAGTTCTCCAAAGTAGAAATTCAGATGGCCAACAGACACATGAAAAGATGCTCCACATCGCTAGTCATCAGAGAAATGCAAATTAAAACCACAGTGAGATATCACGTCACACCACTAAGGATGGCCACCATCCAAAAGACAAACAGCAATAAATGTTGGCGAGGATGTGGAGAAAGGGGAACCCTCCTACACTGCTGGTGGGAATGTAAATTTAAATAGTTCAACCATTGTGGAATGCAGTATGGAGGTTCCTCTAAAAGCTCAAAGTAGAAATACCATTTGACCCAGGAATTCCACTCCTAGGAATTTACCCTAAGAATGCAGCAGCCCAGTTTGAAAAAGACAGATGCACCCCTATGTTTATTGCAGCACTATTTACAATAGCCACCTAAGTGTCGATCAGTAGATGAATGGATAAAGAAGATGTGGTACATATACACAATGGAATATTACTCAGCCATAAGAAGAAAACAAATCCTTCCATTTGCAACACCATGGATGGAGCTAGAGGGTATTATGCTCAGTGAAATAAGCCAGTTGGAGAAAGACAAGTATTAAATGATTTTACTCATTTGTGGAGTATAAGAACAAAGAAAAAACTGAAGGAGCAAAACACTAGAAGACTCACAGAACCCAAGAATGGACTAACATTTAACAAAGGGAAAGGGACTGGGGAGGACGGGTGGGAGACAGGGGCTTTATGATTAGCTTGTATAATGTGGGCAGGGGCACGGGGAGGGTTGTAGAACACAGAGAAGACAAGTAGTGATTCTACAATATCTTACTACACTGAAGGACAATGACTGCAATGGGGAATGTGGGGGGGAACTTGGTGATGGGGGGAGTCTAGTAAACATAATGTTCATCATGTAATTGTAGAGTAATGATACTAAAAAAAAAAAAGAATGACTTTCCTGTCCAGGCAGATTACTTAAACTTTTATAAATCTCTTACTAAAGATTTTATGTTTTATCAAAAAATTGATTGTGTTTCAAGGCATCTTTAACAGTTTTGGGATTACTTGAAAAATCTTCTCAATGTTAAAAGAGTCAAGTGTGCACAAGTATATAACCTTCTGTTACTTTCATTAAATAATAGGTAATTTCATAAGGATCTATGATACTATTTAATGAAATATCAAACCTTTCGACACCTTCCCCAAGTCAAAGTCAAAATGGAATCTTTTTAACCTCAAACTAACTCTCAGAAGTCCTCTGGAATAGCTCAAAGGATTTCTCTCACCTGGGAAGATGTTAAACTAGGTTTACTTTAACAAGGTTTAGCATTAGTGCCTCTTTGATAATGCTTCCCATGTAATTTAACATGTGTCCTGGCCTATAACATTACCAGTCATAATTCCAGTTATTACCTTAAAATGTATGTCACAGAAATAACTAATTTTCCTTTGCAATCCTATTACAATGTGTCTTAAACCATGTGTATTTTTAAATATTCTACCATTTATATACATTTATTATTTTGCTCTTATGCTTTTGCAGAAGTGAAATTCATGGAAAGGACCCTACCAACTACCGTGGACCCTTGACACTACAAAATCACAAGGTATCAAACCTTTCACAACTGAAGAAGGTTGCACCTGATATCTGATCCTATACAAATGCTGGAGACCTCAAAATCAAAGATTAGGAAGAGAAGTAGCTGGACTGAGGTAGACAGACTGCTTCCTCCCACCATGCTGAGTCAAGAACTTTTATTTCCAATTCTTACATTATGAATGAAGCTCTTTATGATTCTTGTATCTTCCTTTGGCCTTGCGCTGGCCCAGAAAAATGCCACTGTTCACATATGAGGCGTTGCATGGGGAGGTGCAATCCAGTCTCCAAACTAATGGATTTGCTGTACTGGTTATCCTATAGTTTTGTCCATTGCAAACCTCTCCCTGATTTCCAGTGCCTTGGTTTCTCAGAAACAAACTCAGCCCCTTTCTTTGGTGTCAGATTCCCTAAGCCTAGGTGTCCATTTTCCCTTCCCTTGTTAGCAGATCCAAACTCAGGGAAACTAGCACCCAGGCTCTGCACCAAGAAAGGAATCCAAGGGCAGCCAGCATAAAACTACCTGTATAGTCTACAGACCCTTAAATTTTACTGACTTTCAGAGCTGTCACCTTGCCAGTTCTGAGTCACAGGTTCCAACAGGAAGTTGTAAGAGGCATTCATGATTCAAAATTAGTTTTTTTTGGCAGGTCCTTACTCCTCTGACTAGGGGTAAGTGGAAACGAAGCTATGATCAGTAACCTCTTCTTATTGGATCTATTGCACAATCTGCTGCTAAAGGAATAGCTACCCCCCCAAAAAATGTCTAGACTATTGCCAAAGTTGTTCCTGATGAAAGAAGAGCCCTTCAGTACAGTCTTTTGTTGACATCATTGATTCTGATCAGTCTGGGTCTTGGGGCCATGGCTCTGAAGTTTGCTCCAGACACTGAGGGTTATCCTGTTTCTAATAATCACAGGAGTCTTCCCAGGGTGCTGTGTTTTCTCAAAAGCTTTAAATGCATATTCAAAGCCAATAAACACTGAGAAAATGATTTCTGTAATATTAGAACTTCAGAAAAGGAATGAAGAGAGTGATCTACTTTAATGTGAACCTGACACTGACCTATGACTACCCCACAGAGGATCAGCAAAAAACTTCACAAATTCTAGTGTGGTAGCTAGGGGTAGAGCTGATACATTAAATTTTTAGCACAAGACAACAGGTCAAAAATGGAATCACTTATGCTAAGTCCCATGTCACCAAACCAAGACTTAATTACAGTTTTGACTGTTCCAGAAATGGAATCAGGCAAGCAGGAGAAACCTGGCAGCACTAGTAAGGTAAACACCTGATAGGCCCCTGCCTTCTCCTAATGGGAAGTAACTGCAATGACCAACCTGCTTTTCTGATGACAGTAACTCCCTTATTTGCACTCCCTTCCTTCTATTTGCAGGATGGATGTTGCCTGATTCATCAATCACTGGATAAAGCCAGTAAGATTTTAAAATTTACCCAGTTGAGTTTTGTTTTTTAACAAATCCATGATGGGGAATCCTATTCATTGATAAGGAGTCATGTTAGGAATAAAGAAGTTGGATATTTTAAGATTAATGGAAGTTTTTAAATAGGCATATGGCTGCAAAAAAACATTCCAGCCCCTTTTAAATCATTGTTCCTTAGAGAAACATCCAAAGGATAATTCGGAAGTACTGACTACTCATTACCATGGGTAAAAAGTAATAATATTAAATTTAGTTCATGATAGTCTACTCTCAAAGGTAGGAACAGGGATTTTTTGTTTGTTTCTATCAAACAGGTCACTTTTTAAATTGGAAAATGAGTGAATTTTTAAAAGTCTTTTAAGCTCTAAGTAAATGACATTGCCCATTATATAAAAATATACACACTATACCAGACTATTCAACTTCCATAATTGAATAGTCTAACTGTGGGGGGTCTATTCATTATAGAAAAATTGATTCATAATAAGTGAAATTTGTATATTAAATACTTTTTCCAAATAACTGACTACTGTTCTAATGGTCTTGTTTATTTAAACAATTAGCAATTACTGAGAAAGAAAAGTTGAGGCCAATTAAAGACCAAGGTAATACACACATTGCATGTTCCAACAATTAATTGATAACTTGCTTACCAGGGGCTATCTAACAATTAACCAGGGAAATACTTCTAAGAAATAGAAGCATTAATGCAAAATGTCTTCTGGATTTATTCTTTTCAAATCCATTTACCACATTATCTAATCTGGCATAAGCAGAAAACCCCCAAGGAAGATTAATATTCAAAACACCTCTAAAGCCCTCTGGTAAGCCCTCTGGTGTTAGGAACCTTAATTGTTTTGGCAACATAAACTGTTAAAGCAAGGATTTCTAAGGACAATTCTCAGCTATCATGGTCAGAAATGTGACTCGAAAATGGAGAATAAAGAGTTGTATAGACGCTGCACCCTCGTGGCTCTCAGTATGTTCTTGATTCATGTGGCTACAGATGATACACTCACAGACCCATGACGTAGCTGGAGCCCTACAAGGTCACTGCTAAACACCAGTCCATGAATGCACATTACAAACAACTGTGAGAGACATTAGCCTGGACTCTTCACTATTCCATATTTAAAAAGTCATTCAAAATTTTTTTACTTGACCTTTTAACATTTCTTAATTCAAAATTGAAGGTGACTCAGAGCGGGTCACTGTGCCGTGTTACGACATCATGACTGAGAACTGCTAAAGGGGTCCTTACCTTTCCAACTACTGTGAGTGGGACCCCCGATATTTACCTCTTCAGGTAAAATATTGAAGACTCAGCCAACTGTCCAGGTGTTCAGTTAGTTTCTGCGAGATTCAAATATTTTGGGGAAAAAAATAAGTAAAACACTGGATGGTATAAATAAAATATGTGCTTTGGGTTTTCCTAAACTCAGCAAGAATAGTTTGGGGCAGGATAATTCTTACTTGTGGAGGCCTCTTGTGCACTACAGCATTTAGCAGGATGGTTTGTACGTACTACATGCCTGTCGCAGCCCTCCAGTATGACAACAGAAATGTCTCCAAATACTATCAAGAGGCCCCCAGTTTAGAACCACTGTGTAGAACATCAAACAAGTATACACTGCTTCTGTGATTGTGTAGGCAAAGCCCTAGGAACTGGTGACTCAGAGTAATTTTCCCTTAGTGACAAACCATTTACATATGTAATCAGTTCTGACCCTATACAAGTTCTTTGAAAGAAAGGGAGAATATTCACACAGTTTGAAAACCAAAGGTAAAAGGCCTCAACCACAGAAGGCCTACTTTCTCCCATTTCTGGGGATTGCCAAATGAGGTATCGGACAAAGAAGTTTATAGTTTACTAAAAATTTTTGTTTCATTGTTTAGAAGAAAATTCAATCTATTTTTCTGAATGATGTGACATTAATCACCAGAAAACTGTTCTTACCTACAGGAGATATCCTTATCCTGGCTTTTGAAATACAATAATCTCAGGTGTTCTTCAGAAAAACAAGTCTTGTGTTGGCTCATAGTTCATCTGTTTATGATGTCGTCTTCATCTGGGAAGACAGTGGAGAGAAATTACATGAGTTCTATTAAGGCTTAAACACTCCCCATCTACCCCAATAGAACACTCACAAGAAAAAGATAATATTTCTCAATACCACCATTACCTTCAGTCTGTGTGAAATTATTACCTCCATCTACAGAAAACCAATGGACCATTTCAACTATTCATCCCACTCAAGTTGTCAAACTAAAGCAGTAAAAATGCCAATAATTTACAGCTAGGCCTTAACGTACTTTAGCACCTCATAGATGCAAACCTAAACGGAGGGTGGGTGGCTTTCACCAATAAGAGAAAAACAGCCGGCTGGGCCAGGGTGAGCCAAAATCTGTGCGGAAAAACCCTCACCACGAGAAATGCACACTGAACTTTTCACTATATCTACTTTCCCATCACCATTCATGCTATTAAGCCTTGAAATAATGACCTTTTATTTCTGCATCCTGACGTGTCTAGCGCTGGGCCTTGGCCCTGAGAGAAAAGAGGCAAATTCAGCTAATTGTGTTGTTATGAGAAAGGACTGTGACATCATGATTATACAGCAGTGCGACCCTATGCAGTGAAACTAGGAAGAACAAAGTGCACCTGAAAATAAACTAATATGTATGTATCAAAATAAACATCTGCTTTATAGAATTTCACAAGGTATCAAGATGTTTGTAAGCAGACACCCAGGCAAGAGTGAAACAAAGAGAGAAAGGTTCCATGATGTAGTCTTTTAAAAAGTATAAACTGTTTCCATAAAAACAATTTAAATGAAACATACACTTGTAACACACTTGGAAAACACAAAAATAGGCATTACTAAGAAATTCTTTACAATTCTTTTAATTCCATTTCCTACATATAACACAGTTGATAGATTGACTTATTTTACATAGAAATTGTTACAATCACTTCACATAATCCAATAAATGTATCTGATTCTTTAAGTGGACAATATATTATGAACATTTCTAATGTCTTAAATATTCAAACACATTCTTCTCTAGGGTTGTATGAAATTTCACTGCATGTTACTGAGATTGACATAATCATATACTGGCTATTTAGGGTGTTTCTCAGTGAATAAAAACATCTTGTAACTGCTCTTACGCACATATTTGTGTGCCTTCAATTTCGAATTAATATCTGAGGCTATGTCTATCTTTAAGCATCTTGTCATATCTCACCAACAGTTATGGGTTGAACTGTGTACCCCCAAATCCCTATGCTGAAGTCCTTACTACCCAGTACCTCAGAATGTAATCCTATTTAGAAATGCAGGTGCAGTAAGTTAAAATGAGGCTACACTGGAGTGGGGAGAGGTGGGGTCCCACACAAGTGTGACTGGTTTCCTTACTCAATGGGGAAAACTTGACCCAGACACCCAGAGAGGAGCAGCAATGTAGAGAGAAGAAATGACCTGGAACAGATCCTCCCCCCTGGCACCCCCCAACTTCAAAATGAACCAGCCCCACCGACACATCATGTTGGATTTACAGCCTCCTGAACTCTGAGGCCATACATCTCCACTGTGTGAGCCGCTCAGCACGTGACACATTATTACTGCAGCCCCAGACTGGCGCCCAGCCAACAGGGAGAGGTGTCCGCCCTCCTCAGCGCTGCCCCGCCCCCGCCCCGCCTAGCCAGCCCATCACACCTGCATCAGCGCTTCAGAGGTTCAACCTCTATCTTTGATATCCAAGTCAATGTATGTCTTTCTCTATTTCCTTTCTTCCAGTCCATAGCCTTTGTAGAGGGCATTTTCTTGCCTTACTGTTCCAATGATGTTGACATAATTAAAAAATAATAACAATAGCTAATATTGACTCCGTTCTCTGTTAAGGCTTCATGCTAAATTAAACTCCTTATGTTAATTATCTCCTTTATTGCCATGCTAACGGACTGATGGAAATGAAGTGTCATCCCCATCCTTCTTTTGTTTTAGTTTGTCACAGAGGTGGTGTCCTGTGCATTCTAGACATCCGTTACATGTGGACAGCTTCTAGACATGCGTAAGTCTTAAAAAATGATTGCACCTCAATGCAGGTTGTAACTAACTGGACTAACTACAGTGGTCCTCAGGAAGGCAGACTAGAATTGGCATCTGGGTGGCATTTATTCCAGGACCTGGAATTTTCACTGAATTGAATTCCACTGAAATTCCACTCCAATTTTGATAGCATTTCAGTTCATTTAAAGCCCCGTGACCCCCTTATCCTACAGGAGGGAAACAGCATTCAAAAAAAGACTATTCAAATGGTGGAAAAGCCAAAGAGGATGCAAATGTTACTAAGTGAGTAATAGCAAGCAGCAAGTATAAGTGTGCTGAAATCTGACGACAGAGCAAGAAATAGCCTTTGGGGGTCATGGAGCGGAGCCAGGAGAGTAGGGAGGTGGGTGTAGGGAGGCGCCAGGCAGAGAGCGCCAGGCACAGGGCAGGGCCGGCTGAGGGAGGCGCCCACAGAGCAAGGTCTGCAAACAGCTGAAAGGAGGCAGCTGTGGCGAGGCAAGTGGGCTTGTGCTGAGAGCATAAAGGGATGTTAATGAGGAGAATGGGCTGACAGCAGCTCTGGATCGTCAGTCAGGCTGCAGCTGCTGGTTGATGCAGGGCCTGTCGGGGGAGACAGCTGTCAGAACCTGATGTCAGCAAACCTCCTGCAGAAGCCCTGTGCAAACACAGCCCGGGGTGGGGCCGAGGAGGCAACGAAGTTTCTATTTAGTTTTTGCTCATTGTATTCTATTTCTTACTATCAGTGAAGTGACTTGGATTTTACTCTGAATTCTGAAAGGGACCACCTAGGAAATACGTGCTCTCACATCTATAGTGGGGAAAGCTGGGAGAGGCCTATAACACTCTGGTGTTTGAAGCAGGGTGCAGCTCTGCAGAGGGTGGGAGCATGCATTTATTAATTCACACCAACGCCTTCGACAAGAGTGTCTGGCCCTAGTTAATGCTCTTCACGATTCTGCACCTGGTTCTGACGTGTGGGAGTTTTCTCATACCATCAAAGAAGCAATTCTCAAGACACTAGTTGGGATTCCTACAATTTCAACCCAGTTTTGACACTGTCGCGCTGGAGACAGCATCAGATCCACAGGTTAAGGGCTCAGTCCCCTAAGATGCCCCCACTTCAGATGCCAGTCACAAGTCCGGCCTGTCACCCGTGCTTCTGCTGTACATCAGAGGTTCCCAGGACCCCTTCCTGGGTTCAGTTAATTTGCAAGAGCAGCTCACTGACCTCAGTTTACTCACTGGATGACCAGTTTATTACAAAGGATATTAAAGGATATGAATCAACAGCCAGATGAAGAGACACATGCAAAGCAAGGTCCCCAACAAAGAGGCCCCTGTCCTCATGGAGTTCAGGGCTGGACACAGTGGCACATGAAGCTCTGGTTCACCAACAACGAAGCTCTCCAAACCCCTCCTTGTGGGTTATGGAGGCTTCATTACAAGGGGTCAATGATTAAATTACTGGCCACTGGTGATTGATTAAACTCCAGTCCTTCCCTCCCTAGAAATCAGGATGGGACCATAAGTTCCAACCCTCTAATCAGGCTTGCTTCTCCTGGCAACAGCCCCCATCCTTAGGGCCTTTCTAAAAGTAGCCTCATTGACATAGCAGAAGACACCTTTAGAGTTTCATCACTCGGGAAATTCCAAGAGTTTTAAGCGCTCTGTGCCACAAATGGGGATAAAGACCAAAAATATATATTACTTGGAATAAATAACTTAATCACATTTTTTTTTCAATCCTAAATAGTTAGTGCTGCTTCCTGGCTTCATTATTCCTCCTGGGGAAGT